TGATACACTACACATATAGTAGCCGTATGTAATAATAATAATAAATATAATAATATTAATAACAATAATAATTATACCATGTATGACCACATGTCAACTACGTCAACCGAACGTCAGACTTTTAAGAGAAGCGCGTGCATACTTAAACGCCCGAATTGCATTAGTATTAAGTTATTTATACAGGACGATAATACATTTAACTTAAAATCAATGACGAGTAATCTTTGGGAGAGAGAGAGGAAGGTGGTGATAAAAATGATTTTCCTCACCTACCTCCTCCAGAACATTTTTTTTTTTTTTTTGTTTTTTTCGAAAAACAATGTAAAGTTTTGCTAATTTATTAATTAACTTCAACAATTTCAAATTATTCGAATGAGTAAAGAATAAAATTATTCTAGAGATAGTTTTTGTTTACACCACTACATCTCTATAAAACGATAAAGAAATAAAAAAAAACGTGTAATCGGCATTTTAGAATTTTCGTTCATTTAGCACCAAAATCAGGCACCGAGTTTAATAAAAAAGTATTATATTATATTCTTATAACAGACTTTACTGACGCTGTAAAAATATCTCGGAAAATTTTTACATTGTCCCGTCAAAATAGTTTGAAATTATTGAACTATTTAATCGTTGATAAAATCAAATAATTATTTATCATGACGAAGAGGCCGTTTAAAATCACAAAAATGTGCCACTAGAAATTTGAAAATTATACCCCAAATACATTAGATGTATTGTGCAATGTACACATGAAAGTAATATGTAATATTTTTGGTTCTTTTATTATTTTATACTTGTACGACCAAAATCATTGTGGGCTTAAACACGTATTCCACGTGATTTTCTTTCGTATATCTACCACGTGTATGTTCGTTATATATTTACGCGTGAACACCGATGTTAATTGTATAACCACCCATAGACCGTGTGTCCTCATGTGCCTCGTATATATAATAAATAATAATATAATATTATGTTTTTAGCATAACTGCTGACACCCTCGTAAATTTTGTGTGTGTATATATTTTTTATTATTATTATTATTATTTATATTAATCCATCGAATTATAAATATGGAGTTCTTGTTGTCGATTGTAATTGAGGACGAAACGAAAACTACTATGACTAAACGTAAGGTTACCAGTGTGTGGTGACACATGACGTTATATTTCCGGAGTTCACAAGAAATATCAAATAAAAACAGTTATAAATTATTGATCGAATTTAATTAATAGAAGAATAAAATATTATAATTAATATTATTGTGTATTTTCCCAGTTTTTTACCTAGGTGCACTCCAGGTTATTTAACTAATTAGTTTTAAATAATATAAAAACACTATAGTGAGAGTATACTTATTTAGTTTCGAAAGTATATATTGTGTAGATTTGAAGAAAAAACTAAAATAACTACAACTCGAATAAGAAAGTATAAAATCCTTTATATTCATACATGCTGAAATGAGTCAAACTGTAAAAGTTGGGTTTAATTTTATATAATTATAGAAATTCTGAAAAATTAACTTTATGAATAAATAAAGTAATCTTTACTACTGAGTTGTGACTTTATAGAAGAATACTGAAGATACCACGAACAACCCGGATTACAAACGTTGAAGTTCCTTAGAAGAATGAACAAGGAAACTGAGCTAGTAAACACCATAAAGATAAGAAGCTTCAATACCTAGGGCACATAATGTGAAATGAGAGAAGGTATTCAATACTCCAATCCATTTCGCAAGAGAAAATATTTGAAAAAAGAGAACCTGGAAGAAGAAAATCATGGCTTCATAATCTAAAGGAATAGTTTGAAAAGAACTCATCAGAGTTGTTTCGCGATGCAATCAACAGCATAGACCATTTGAACATTTACATCTTACCGAGGTAGTATAATTTAAACCACCCAACCTACCCCTAAACAATTGTTTTGACTTTCCTCATATCACATTAAAATTACTTAAGCGCTAAAATGTAAATTATTTATCTCCAAATATGTTCATAGATATACTGATATGCCTACTAAATTTTAATTTATTTAATCAAAATGTACATAAAAAATATTTTTACCGGGGCACCACCCCGGTAGTATAAGTGCTTACAAGCCGCCTCTGATCAACAGAGAGAGCATTGCTGGAATGATCGCCAACATTTAAAATCAGATAGGCACCTGTAGAAGAAGAAGAATGATTACTCAATAAAGAAATTAGTAAAATTGCATTGAACTTGAATAATAATGAATACCTAAAATTCCTACCAAGTATGTACATGAAATTTTGAAACAAATCAATATAATTTTAAATTAAAATACTTGATTAATTTTTTAATTTATAAGTAGTGCTAACCGTTGATAAAACTTAACAAAACTTCATAAATGTATAATTATATTACTATGCAAACTTCACCAATTGAAAATACGTGAGAATAATAATTATTGTAGCATTTTCGATGTATGAACAGAAATTCAAGCGAAGAATTTATACAAATACTAAGTATTCTGTTATAAATGAATACGAGTTATTGCGATTTGAATTCAATGAAAATATCAACATAAAGGTTATAAAGATTTTCTCTTTGCATTTGAAGAAAAATATAAATAAAAGGGTTATTTTACTTTGTGCCAAACTTATATATACATATATCCACTAAAGTTTGTTGTATGATACAACATATATTTAAAGTAAAACGCCTTTGATATAGTCAGCCATGTATTGTTCCGTGAATTTCAGTAGAGGTTTGCATTATAACAAACTACCTATTCAAATTTGAAGTAGGAATAAGATGTATAGTAGCGAACGAGATTAAATAAAAATAATATTATTAAATTGACCCTAAGCCTAAAACGTCTAAATTGCATAAATATTATACATCCATACAGGGTAAATACACAATAATATAATTTTATTTTATACAATAATATATTAACATACTTAATAAATATTTATGGTTCAGTAAACTCTGGTAAAATAATTAATTCGATAAGCAATCATTTTTGTAAAAACAATGCAATTATACATTAACAATTCGTAATAAATTGATTTGCTTATTTATTAATTTCATTAAACATTATAGAGTTTATATAGATTATATAGAGATTATTTAACTAAATTTATTTATTACCAATTATGGATACACATAACTTACACAGAGAAGTTATTGCTTCTAATAAAATATCTAGAGCCAATTTTTCTATTTACTCGATATCCTAAATATTTTTAGTATACTATATACACGGTCTTATATTATCTAACATGTAAAATATAATAATAAATACATTTTAAACAAAAAATTATAATACAATCTATGTAATATTTTGATACTTACATTGTTTTATTTTGAACTATTTTACCTATGCATTGATCAATTGATTCTCAAAAAAAAAAAAAAAAGGTATACATCAGTTATCTGCGAGTAACACATACAAAACTCAAAATCAACCCAAAACATAACGTACAAAAATAATAAAAATAAACAAAGATATATGTCCCTCATGCGAAAATCCAGAAATGGCTGTCAAGAGGAAAGACAAATAACTTATAAACATTTTAACTTGTTGTTTTCTACCCACCAAAAAGGGACGAAACCACGATATGAACCGTAATAGTTCACCAACGCCTAAACGGATGTGAGTATAAATTAAAATATTGTGGTCTACTGTATCAAACGTCTTTCGCAGGCCTATGTATATGACATGAACTTGACCAAATATTTTTCCTACATTAATAAATTCAAACTTATAAACTTAAAGTTTAATAGAAGCGGTCTTACAATTACGGAATATTATTTATCAACTAAATATTGTTATAGGTTTACGAATAAGAAAGATTTGGTAAAGTTTCAAATAATTTAGAAATTGTAGGAGGTTTAAAATCAATTCGTTGATACTGACCTTCGGTTATAATATAAAATAAACATTTTAGTAGGCAATATTTAGCATATATAGAGACCAATAAGTTAAAAGTTACAATATAGGATATATATGACATAGGACCAGAGTAATAATCATAATAAAATTATTTAAACTTTTATAAACGGAATAAAAATATTTCTTATGGAACATAATAATTATATTTATAATTATTATAAATAGAAAATCACGAAAAAAAATGATGATGGCATAAATAGTCTTAAATTAATACTACTACCAATTTTATTAGACCAAAATTAATTAATAATTAAATTAAATGTTAATTTAAAGATAATAACTAATAACCAATATTAAGAATCGAATTGTTTTAACGAATAAACACCTCTAGACAATTAACGTATTGTAATATTTTATTTGATACGAAGCTTTAAAAACGAACATTGTAATTATAATAACTTAAAATAAATACATATATATATAATAAAGTTCACTAATATTCTTTTAAATTAAAAATAATTTAGTATATTCCAAAAAAATAACTATAAGCACCTATTAAAATGAATAACTTGAGAATAATTAAATGCGCGTGAGTTTAATGACGTGAAACTATCAAGTGCAATATTAGAAAACTACATCAGTGGTAAATGAATATTTTTTAATATATATATATATATACCAATTAATACATTCAATTTAATAATATTTTGTTTAAATACCATTACATATATCAATATGAATTAAAACAAAAAGCAAATGCATATTACTATGTACAGTAAAACCTCGATAAGATGAAACTTTGGTAAGACAGAAACCTCGGTATAACGGAACATTTTTTTGGTCCCGTTTCAAATTACATACAATTAACTAACCCCGTCAAGACGGAAACTTCGTTAACATGGAAAAATATCATGGTCCCAAGCGATTTTGTTTTGATTTGATTTGATTGAGGTTTTACTGTATAATAATCCAAAAAAAGTGTAAATGTAAAAGATACAATTTTAAAATTAATTTAGAGGGAATTTTTATTTTAAACAATAAACAAAATAAGAAAATGCAATAACTTCTCTGTTTTAATCTCACAAATTTGATTTTCACCCACCTATTTTATTTGGTATACAAATATAAGTACTTACATATATACACTATGGGTCCATAGTGGAGTGTTGTAAACGTAATAATCTGAATCCAAATGTTCGACTTGTTGAAAAGTATAAATAATATCTGTAAATTAAAATCATAAATCAATATTATTCTTCTATACAATATATTATGCCTTAAATAAAGTAAATAAAGTACATGATTATAATTTAATAATACAATTTTTTGTCCTTAAAAAGAGAGCATACCATACTAACTAAATATGTATACGCGAATTTATTTGAAGCTAAGAACAAAAGATATATAAAAAAGAATCAATATACTTATAACAAATAATTCAGTATTTTTTTATATTGAGAGAGATATACAATTTCTTAAATGATTTTTAAAATGTAATAGAATTTGTTCTTAATAAGTCACTTGATAAGCAAACTATCAAATTTCCGGTTCCTGGATTAAGAAATATATAACTAACGTGTATTTTAAATACTTTTTTAGTATTGTCATTCAATATAATTTTTAAATGCGAGTGAAAATACTTTAATTTTTACATATATAAAACTGATTAAAAATAGGTGTCACCAAACGTGCAAAAATAAATGAACACTTCAATACTCAAAAACGTCTCGTCAATAATCAGGTTTTAGAATATAAGATTGAAGTTCGCATTAGATGAAATAATATAGTTCAATTGAATAATCAGTTAAGTAAATAACCAACTTATATATAATATAATAACTGAAATATATACTCGTATTTATAAATAACTCAATAATCAACTAATCAATAAAAAAAATTAAAAAATCTTATAAAACAGTTAGAAAAAAGTATAATACAAAATGAAATCATATGTATTGTATACAAAGTCATATTAGGAACTTAAAGTATACTAAGTAACTAAAAATAAATATAGCGAAACTAAATAATTATACTCAGGATGCCACGTAGCGGGACTTTTTTTAACAACGATTTAAAACAATTTTCTAAAATAAAAGTAAATAACCACGCATTATTTTTGTCAGAATTTTACTTAAACTGGAACGTATAAAAAAAAAAAAAAATGTATTAAATATTTTACAATATTATATTCTTATGTATGTGCACAGGAAAAATAAAAATAACTGATAACAGCTGAAAGACTTTCTGCCTGCGATGTATTTAGATTCTGAGCAAAGTAAGGAATAAATTGATTTTTCAAAAATATTTTTTTAAATTGTATTTATCATAATATTCAATTAGATATTACACTGATAGTATTTTAAAGAAGTCATATCTCGACTTTATCAGTAGCTTTTCACATATAAATGAAACATTGAAAACAATTGAAAAGTAGGTTAAATTTTAAATCAAAAATCAATCTCTTTTTTTTTAAGTCGTTATTTTTTAAGATTAAGCTAATAGATTCTATTAAACACGATTTCACACTGCAAGCATTGCATAACGATGACCGGATCTGATGTGGCGGAATACGTTTAAGCCACGTAAATTATTTAATTAAAAAATTTAAAAATGTATTAACTACCTACGAAGTGTAGTTCAGTATAGTATATAAAAGTATAAGTTAATTTTACTATAATCGCATTATCAATCTAATTATCCTAATTATATATATATATATATATATTATAAAATAATATTTTTTCTTTTTTCCGCTCATGTACATAACTTAAGTAAACAATTTTTTTTGTGACTTAAATTTCTTAAGAATAGATTTAATTATTTGAATAATACAATTATAGTGTATTTATAACATAATAGTCTTTTAGCAGTTCCTTTAAAAATGTATTATTAAATTATTAATTTATAGTGAATTAATAAAATACTAGTTGACTTACAACATGTGTAATTGTTATTATATAAGACATAGACCATCGTGCAAAGTCAATTTTAATGAAAATGTTTAGTAAGCAGGTTAAGTAATTTACTTTAGAAATATAATGGAGGATACATAATCAAACATAGTCAATTTCTCAAAAGTTTTTAAAGTCAATATTTTAAAAGTAAAGAACACTAGTCACAAAAAATTCAATTCTAAGACACAAAAAAAAGAACTGACAGTTGTCAGATATCATTATCTCTTTTAGATTTTAAATGTCTTTAGGGGCAGAATTCTTACATAATAAAAGTTATTTATTTGATCACTGAAATTTAAAAACTCAAAGCATATTAAATCGTTCCAAATGTCAATCTGGATAAAATAATTTAATATCTTTCCACAAATCTAATCTAATCTTCTATCAAAAAAAAAAAAAAATTCAAATTCAAATTTTAGCTTAAACTTTCAAAAATATTGCCCATTTAAATAAATTAAAATCAGAATATATCCGTATTTATTACACCTACAAATACATTTAATTCCACAAAACGATACAACTTTTTTACATATTATATATTGGTAAAAATATTGAAGAGAAACGATGTTCTTTTTCTTTATGAAAAACTCAATAGCTAGTACCTATGTATGTATTATTCATTCAATTCCAGTAGGTTTCATAGGCTAAACGAAGAAAGGTTAAGCAAGGTTAGAATATATTTCCGAGAAATTTGTTTACAAACAGTTTTTACAATTCACTGGTTCGTAAAAACAGAATTCAACTTCTTCGAGAATAAAAATTTGATCGAATTAGAAGTAGAATAAATACAAGTGGAGTATTATGAATAATGTACTAAAATCAGGATTAATATTTTGGTGGACAGCTGTAAAAACAATAAAATTTCAAATTATACATTAGCATAACGAAAGAAATACCTACCAATTTTTGGTGAATTTAATTTGAACTTATATTAGCATTGTGATTCAATACATATATGTATAATGTACGAAATTAAACATTTATTTTCGTTAAAAATATCTTGTGCAATTCAATTTATTTCAATTAACCATATCTTCCGTAAAACAGCACTCAAATCATGGAATTTGAAATAATCGGACAACAAAGTTTAATCAAACCAAATATAATTCCACTTTTACATCGTAAACTATTTGGATTCTTGGAGAACGTTTACTTCTGGATCACTATACATTTACTATACTTCCATTTATGAGTATCTTAAGAACAAAAACAAAAATAAACTTACGTAATAAACGTATATAAACGTAAACATAATGAACGTTTATTAGTTGTACGGGGACGTCCCTATACAACCAAAAAACACATTTCTTACCTTCAATTCAGAAATCAAATTTATAATGAAAATTCTTATTAATAAAAGTCAATTGACTTAGATAATATAGATAATAGAAAATAATATATCGAAGTAAAATTGAAATATAATAATAATTTATTACAATTATTATTATTATTTACAAAACACATGATTTTGTTAATACAATTGGCATATGATTTTTTAGAAAATTATTGAGAACTTTTTTAAACATAAATTTTGCTAAAATGGAAGTAATTAATCTTTTAATAATTTAATATTTTACTAAAGTAATATACATTCATTTCTACCGGCAACGTTAACAAATTTATGATTTCGTATTTTGTTTTATCTTGACTTCAATTTTCGGAAGAAATAAAATTAACATATAAAATTAAACTTATGCCTTTCTATTGATTAATTTTACTCACCAATATATGTCAGACATATTGTCTAATAAGCGTTATAATTTATTTCTCAAATTTTCTGCATTTCCTTAAATTAAAATCCGCGTAAATATTTATAAAATACATATGTAAAATAAGCAAAATGTATAGAATTTATTCTCCTATTATAACAAATATTAACGTATAAATTAATAAAAATATTCCTCAGCAGAATTACAAATAATTACTTTATGAATTCTCTAATATACAATATGCTTTTGATGTGAAAACAAATTATACAAATTTTTTTGTTTGGACAGTGAAAATATTCGAGCGTTACTTTTTTCGCGTAACTATTATATTACCAATAATATTATTAAAAGGAGGGGCGATTTTTACGACAGTTATATCTGAAATTTTACTGGACCGATCTACAGTTTTTTTTTTAACCTGAATTCCTTATGTGCAGATAAGCTATCTAATGAGAAAATTTTAAAAATGTAATGAATTAAATAGTTATTAGAAATATTAAATTTTCTGTGCGTACAAAATCAGTTCGATATCAAAACAACGGCGCAGCGCGGCGACAAGGAACAGAGCATGAAAGGGTAATTTTGGGCGGCCACATATTACCTGGCCGTTACCGTACTCCGAACTTCACCCATCAATAAATAACTATCCATCGCATGATTCACATGATTCTAACAAAGATAGAATGGTGGTATAAAATGTGTTCTCTTTTCTGGAACAAATATAATTCATAAAAAATGTCAATCCTATCCTACTAACAATATGAAAGAATGTGTTTTGAATCAATAATATTTACTTCAAATTCTACATAATAAATCTATATTTCTAAGCTCATATATTTGTTTTCACATCTTCCGAGGGTCGCCTAAGGTGACATTTTCCGATTATTTGAAGTTAAAATAAAATGTTGTGCTTATTTGTTTATTTTTTTATAATTTTTTTATTATTAAAATTTCAATGAATTTTAACTAACAGAAACAAAAAAAATGGATCATGTGACGGAGTAATTTAAAAATAAAACATTCATATGTAACATCACCATAACAGTGTAAAATAGCACCTATTATACAAATTACCCTTCTCATACGGTACTAATTTACATTGTTAAATAGGGCGATTGTAAACTCCGCCAGAATATTGGTTAAGATAAAAAGGTAATAAAAAGTCTAATGTTAATTCCACCAGTTTTTTTTTTGTGTTTTGCCTGTAAATCCTTTCATAGTCATCTAAGAAATTCATTTTATAAAAGTCAACTGAATGTTTATATTTTTAGTAAAGTTCTTACCGAATTTCAAATCCATACTTATAAAAAATTAAATGGCATATCTCAAGTAAATAAGCTAAAAAATTCGAAATAAAAAAATAAATTACAGTGTTACAGGATGCTATAAATAGGTACACTAATGGAGTAATACAAGACTTAGAATATTTACAAATAGTATCACATAATTTTAGTTTATATTCATAACATAACTATATATTTTTGGATTATTAGGTATAACCATTATTTATTATGATTTTTTTTTTTTACTGTGATTTACATATTTAATGTGGACGATTTTT